GCGTTTGCTATGGAAATGTATGATATGTGAATATTATATCAAGAAACTACTTAAAAAAAAACTGCACCAATGGTTACCATGGGTGAAGGAGGAAGAGTTGTTGCTTAGCAGACATTGAGTTTATGTTAATGGTGGTGGAATAATTTGGAAAAAGAGATCAATAATATTTGTACAACATGAAGAGTATAATCAAAGGCACTGAATTCTACATGTCGAAGTTGTTGAATTGGAGAATATCTTGTTAAAAAACAAATATTTTTTAATTGTGGCCAAAATATAATTAGAGTATATTTTGGCCACAATTAAAGAAATAAAAACACAAGTAACAATGCGTACAAGGAAGAAGAAAATGTTCTAGAATTGATTGTGATATGATTGAATTATTGAATTGTATGACATGTGGATGAAGTGCCAATAAAACTGTTTAAAAAAAAGGTTGAGAAGGTGTGGTGACACCCACCTTTCCCCACAGCCCAATGCCTTCATCTGGTCAGTGACGCACATGTAAACATCTTTCTGAGATGCTCTGCGGTCGCCCCAGATGCAAGTGATGGCATGATGTCCTTCTTCCCCGGTCCTCTCCCCAAGCTAGCTTCAGTTTCTGCCAGCTCCACCTTGGTCTACTCCTGCAACAATTCTTATTCTCCTTAGTAAAATGTTACGTGCATGTGACGTTAATGATAGTTCTTGATAGTTACTGCATTCTGTTGGACACATCTATAGATCTCTTCCAGCGGATCAGGTAGCTAATTCCAAATTTCTTGGCATAGACTAGCGAGTGCTCCCAGCGCTTCATCAACTGGCTGAAACATTCAATTGGTAGACGTGCAGTTCGAAAGCCAGAAAGGAAGAACATAGCTTCCTTTAGGGGGATCAGAATGTTCCAGAAATAGGCAGTGCTGTGATTGCACGACAATGTGAATATAAGTTCAGGTACGAGGTTGTGCCTCGTCCTAACAGTGGAGTCTTGTGCGTCCACCCGGGTGGCAGTTGGGGGAGGTGGAGCACGGGTTGTCAAGGAGAGGGGTGTTGACGGGTGCCAGGACCAAGCCAGGTGCCTGTCCATATCCGAGACAACACGGCCCCTAAGGTGCGAGGAAGCACTCCTGGTGTCGCTGCGTGTTAGGCGTCCACCAGCCCCTCTGCTGGAGCAGGATGAGGCTGCCGTCTGCTCCTGTACACGTTTACAGTCCAGGGGGGCCATCTAGGATATAGGGTGGCTATGAGTCGGAATTCACTCGATGACAGTGGCTTTGGTTTTTGTAGAAGGTGGACACCCGGAATTGCGGCCTGAACAGGGAAGGCGGGTCCCGGTCCCCTCTGGCTCCATCCCTACCAGGTCACTCCAGGGGGCCTGGTTCCGTGGACCTCGTTCTTGTTTTTTGTGCTGGTCCATCCGGAGGATGCGGAGGGACCCGA